GTCACAGAGAGTGGGGGCGGGGGAGGGCTGAGGTGTGAGCTTGAATCCAGTGTGTTTGTTGGCTGACCCCTGCAGGACAGGAGCACAGATAGAAGTGATGAAACAGCAGCTCTACACCATAGGCCTGATAAAGACTCTTTAAAAAAAGACATTCATCTCCCAGGGTCCTAAGGATCCAATAGGATCATGAATATAATAGCACCTTATAAGCACCTACATGGTCAGTCTCCATGAATACAAGTTATTTTCCAGGCCTAACTGACCAATTCAGGAATCAGGAACCTGAGTATGGCGTTACTGAAATCGTTCATTAACCAACATTGACCAGAATTTTCTAAGCAACCTGCCAAAAGTTCTCACAGCTAGTTAGGCACAGAGCCAGGCTCCAGACTCAGTTTGATGCTGCTACAAAGCCAAGGCGGCTTCCATGTGACCACCAACTTCTTCAGGATCCAATCAGGGCCTTGATTCTTGGAGCCAAATTCTCCTGAGAGGAAGTAAGGTAGCATGTTGCTGTTAACTCATGATCCTTGGGTATAGCTCTAGTATAACTATACGGAAAGTGAATAAGTTGATCTCTAGGTGTTTCTAGAAAATCAGGAGACAATGCTGAACTGTAATCTCAGAAGGAAGAGGGCAGAAAAGCCATCACTGACCAAGCCGGTGCCATGTTGCAGACCCCACGCTGACCCTTTACCCACACACCCTTAAAGACAAGCGTCAAAGAGGCTAAATAACCATCTCTGGTTACACAGCAGATAAGGAGAAGAGTTAATATTAAAAACCAGGTCTGTCCGGCTCCAAAGTTAGTGCTCTTTCCACTACACTAAGCGGCCAGATGGTGCTGACTGGAAAACTCCAGGCACTGGCCCCAGAAGTGTCTTCATCTGCTCATCATGGGACCCATTCCTCTACCACAGTCTTTTACTAGGTGGCCTAATTCCAGGGTTTCAGGTAATAAGAATCGTGTCAACACTTTTCCCTTTTGATGGCAGGTAATGAACCTGAAAATATACAGTCTCTTCCTCCAGTTCTCCATCTAATTCCACTCCTGGAATATGTACCATGTGACAAGCTATATGTGTAGGGACACAATCCAATAAAAATGAAACAAAGAAAACAACTTTATTTCTCACCACTTTCATCCCTTCCTTATTTGAATTGTGAATACTCTGGTTGCGTCTCATAGACGGCCTGTCTAGAAACTCATTTTATGATGAAATATGCCCCTGTCTGACTTGCATTTAAAAATGTCTGACTTGCTTTCAACAGCTTGGGTTAAAGAATTGGGCTGGTAAGTTTTTGAGAAATTCTAAAGGACCGCTTAACTTTCTTTATGCCACTCTTTCTCATAATAGATGACCCATACTGTGAGGTATTCTTTTTAGAAAATAAAATACCTTCTCTGGGAACTATCTAAATCTTGCCAACACGGGTGGTGGTGGTAGGGGGTGAGAGGGGAACCTCTTCTAGTCTGTAATGTCATATATTAATAAGAGAAATATACTTATGATATAATGTCAAAAACAAAGCAAGATATAAAATTGTATGAATAATATGATCTCAAGTACATATTATCCTGAAAAGTCAGTTCAGAAGGAAGTAACTTAGAATGTTAATAGTAGTTAATTTTTACTGGTGGGATTATGCATGTTACTTTGCCTTTTCTAATTTTCAGTAATAAGCATATATAACTTTTTTTAAAAAGTCAAATGAAAATATTAAAACAAGAAAAAGCTATATATTTTCCAGAAAGAGGCTTAAGTATTATTCAGTACTTCCTCACCAGCAAAAGCATTATATGAGGTTATAAACTTTGACTAATACCAGGCAAGAAGACTATTTTCTTCTGTTCAAGAAAAGAAAGTTATATAATCAATCTTGTTGATGAATACAGATATCAAAATTCTAAGTAAAATATCAACAAATCAAATCCACATACAGGAAATACTATAGAAAACAACACACCATGAATAAATAGAATTTACCTCAGGCATAAAAATTAGAAAATCTATCTGTGAAATCCACAACAAGATAAATTAAAAGAGAAAAAATATATATGGATTGAAATAAATACAGGAAAAGCATATGATCAAATTCAACATGCAAATTCAGCATTAACAGCTACTTCCTGGAAAATGATAAATAAAGGAGAACTAATGGAGAACTTTTAGTAAAAACTTAAATATAACACAGGTAATTTAGAAGCATTTCCATTCGTTTCAGAACAAGATAAGGTTGCCTACTATCATTAAACATTGTGCTGACAGACTCACCAATGCAGTAAGACAAGGAAAAGCGGTACTTAGGGATCACAGAGGAAGACAGGTTATATGTTGCCCCCACAGAAAAACCCAAGTGGAGTTGGAGAAAACACTGGTGAAAGAACTGAAGTGTGCCATTATATTCAAGATTGCTATATAAATTGTTTACTTTCTTTTAAAGTTCTAATTATTCTGGCCCAGTTACCAATATGTGTTTAATGGAAGTGTTACTATTCCCACAGTCAAAAACCGAAGAACAAGAAATGAATTATCATTCCTGTTACCAGCGCGTTCTCTCTCTCACTTTGATGTATGAGTGTTTTCATGGTGCCGTGGGCCAGACGCGTATATAGAGATTAAAGCGGGTTTACCACTGTTGCATAATTACAAACCATTTAGAAAATCTTGCTCTGGAACAAATCAGCTGTATACTTTTTAAGATCCCCTCTACGATGGGATACGAGAAAACAATGTAAAAGGAGGAGGAGGAGGATGATAAAGAAGAGAAAGAGGAGGTGGAGGGGGTGGAAATAAGATAAACGAAACAGAGAAAAGGAGAGGAGAGAGATGAAGAAAGATGGCAGGAAAGGAAGGAGGTGGAAAGCGGTAGGAGAGACGGAGGGGGGTGGGGGGGAGAAAAAGAGGAAAAGGGGAAACAAAGCTAAGCTCTGTTGAGCCTTTACTACATGCGAAGTACTGTGTTTTATTTGCCTTATTTCAATTAACCTTCATAATGAGGCTTTCAGGTTTGTAATATTATAACCTTGTTTTATAGGAGAGGAAACTGAGGCTCAGAGAGTTAAGTGATATTCTAAAGTCACAGAGGAAATGGTGTCCCTAGAATTTGCCCCAGATCGACATGCCCAGACTCCGTGGCATTAGCCACTCACTAGAGGACACTCATTGCACGTGTATTGTGCTGGCTTTAGAGCCTTTTAGAATATGAAGATGAGGAGGATCTGCAAAGGTCACCTTCACGCTCCCACTCCAAATCCTCAACTAAGCCAATGTTCTGAAAACCTGAATCCTCTCTTTAGAATACTTCTGGTTTTGCATGTTAAAATTAAGCATGAAAAGATGTGCCCTAAGATACAATTTTTAATGCATTAAGCATTCAAGAGCACAAGTGTAGTGGAAAGGTTAAATTTGAAGCAAAAATATAACTTGTCAGTTTCCACTGAAGAAGGGATTTGAATTCTAGTACATACTGGGCTTTGCAATTTCTTTTCCCCATGTAGCAGTTCTCCCAAGACCTGCGCTCTCACCCACTCGCTTTCCTTCTATTATTCTTAGACCACAATGCATTCAAAAAAAGCAAGGTTTACATTAAGTTTTAGGGAATGAAATAGACTGCTTCCAAAATATTTGTGTTTCAAATAAACCTCTAAAGCAAAATTTATAGTCCTTCCTGGGGTTTTGGCGTCCAACGGCTGCATATGTATTACATTTATGCCCCTTGCTTCCTATAGAGTGTCAGACAAATGCCATCACAAAACATGACTGGGCAAGCACAGTGATGTCGCCAACAAATCACTGCCTATACAAAGCAACCAAGGGCATCCGGGTTTGCAAGCCCACATTGACAGGTTTCAAGACCTGAAAGAGAGCTCTATTAATCCTCTTCCATGCAGCTGGGGAGGCAGGGGAGGAAAAAAGCAGAAATCACAGGGAGGAAACACACACAAACACCACACACACACACACACACACACACACACACACACACACACAGAGCAAGAAGTTGCTTGCGCCCAATTACAAGAGGGGGACACGCTTACTGAAAGTCATGGTCCTAAAGCCACAGGACCCAATTCTTCAGAAAACATGAAAAGCGATAGAATGATTTTATTACCCCACTAGTCATGCCGGGCTTCATTACCAGTATGTATGTGCCTTCCCTGAATCAAGTGCTTTGTAAGTGTTGGGAGTTAAAGGGTGAACAAGAGGCCCAGGTCTGAAGGGGTGTATAGCATGACAAACAGAAATGCAGGGCATTTTCAATACTGGAGATGCTCACAAAGTGCTACTGAAGCAAAACAAACATGGGCAAGTAACCCAATTTAGAGAGTAAGGAAAGCCCCCCATCCCAGGAGGTCCCACCAAGTTCAAACCTGAACAATAGGTAGGAGCCCATCTAGAAAAAAGTGGGGAGTGACGAAAGGATTTCAGGCTGGATTAAGAAGAGTCCAGTGGTTCTAAACTCTGATCGCTAAACCAACATCATCACCATCACCTGGCAACTTGTTATCAATGCAAAATCTAAGGCCCCATCCTCGACCTGGGGAACGAAAAACTCTGGGGTGAGACTCAGCGGTCTGTGTTTTAACAAGCCTCCCAGGTGATTCTGGTGCCCTGGAGTTTGAGAACCATTGGTATATGCCAAAGTGAACAACAGCAGACAGAATGCCTGGAAGGTTAAATGGCGGGAGGGCGGGGTGTGTGGGGGGGGGTGGTGAGGCAGAGATATTGCTGGGGGGATGGGGTAGAAGGTATATCAGGAAGGGGTTTATAGCTTATAAAAAGAATTTTGCATTTTAACCAGAAAATAAGGAACAGCCATTAAAATATTATACTATGAGTACAAAAAACAAACCAAAAAAACAAACAGCAAATAAGGCTGACGACTATTAAAAACATATATGCGATCCCAAAGACAGTCCTGTATATCATTCCAGAGACAAAAGCCCATTCCTGTACAGACAAGTAGCCATAAGAAAGAGCCAAACGCGGCCTTACCTTTCTTCCTGGAGTCTTTCTTGGTGCTGGTTTTCACAGCTACTTGAAGTTCTGTCTCAGTTGACATCCTACTAAATCCTTAGTCCACGTCACACAGATCCCGGGCCTCGGCCAGGCTCATCGAGGACTCTTCTCCAAGGCAACAGCTCCACCCTTCAGAAACGACACCCCGAGCTGCACATGTCATTCACACTTTGCGAGCGCTGCAAACCAAGGGAAGAGAACGTTCAGAACGATTACCCTTTTGAAGTTAAGCAGGAATTAGGGGGAACAAAGGAATAGTCACACAAACACAGGAACACCGTGGTCTCCGTGTACAAACTGCTCTCATTCAGGCCATTGACGGTGTCCACAGCAAAAGGAATGAGAGGCCTATCAACCAAGCTGTTCCTCCAACGAGGTAACTCAAAAGGGATCTCTGAAACTCTGGATTTTCAACAAGGGCAGAACCTAACTCTTTGTTTTTCATGTTTCTTATTTTCAAGCCCTAGATACCACCCAGAAAATAGAGCAAAGGCATGTTTCCCGAGCAGCCCCGTGGAGACATTTCCAATAGTGGGGCACTCATCCACCAGCCAGGCTTGACCAGAGCCTTGGCAGCTAAAGCAGATCATAGGGAAGTGACCTGTGGTCTGTCCCTCACTGGCAGGCAACAAAGGGGACATGGAGCTGACACAGAATTGGGTTCCAAGGATAAGGTGACAAATGGGGCTGAGAAACTTTCCAGCAAGCCAATTTTTGTGCCAGCTTTCCCCTCAGGTATAAGAGCAGACCGGCATTTAACGTGGGGAGAAAAAGAAAAGTAGGTAGACACACATTTCATTCATTCTTTCTTCAATAGATATTCACTGCACACTGCTAGGTACTATTCAGTTCAGACACTGTGCTGGGATAATAATGATAATACGACCACTTCAATTACAGCTAGTATTTACCATTCACTTACTGTATACTACGCCCTTAGCTACTCCTTCACATACAGTAACTAATTTGATTTCATTACATTGAATGAACGTATTCCCTGGGTTAAGTCAACAGTCTTTTTCCATTGACTAACTATCTAATAGTTATATCTGACAGTTTAGTTGAAAATAAACATTTCACTAGTTATCCGTTTTTTAAATAGTATCAGGATGATATTATACTATGGCTTTCGCTGCCAAGGCTCTTATCAAGCTTGGCTGATCAGGCTACTGGAAATGGATCTTCAAACTGTGCAGTCAATTCTTAGCTCATCCCACAGATCTAGAACTGTTCGCTTTAAAAAGGCTGACCTTGAATGCCAGTGTCAGCTCAAAAAGGGCAACTACAGATGGCTTAACTAAAAGGTCTAACCTAAAAGCCACATTAAAATTATAGGTTCTTTGGTTTGTTTATAACAAGCTATTTTTTTTGAAGAGCACACTAGTCTTAAATAAAATGTGCTTGAACTAGAGGATCTAAGGCTACATCTAAGGAAAACGAAATGTTCTCTCTCTAGAATGGGGTCCATAAAATTATTTACAGAAAATGAAAACTCTCCTTGCCACTTTTATTTCTATCCCATTCCATTAGCCCTCACTGCCCTTCCTAACCTCTCCCTTCCCGGAAAAGACAGCATTTCATGAGAGATGACAGTCACAACACTCAGTCATATACAGACACCATTAATTTTATTAATGATATTTATCATTTCAATGCAACCAATATCTACTATGGGCCAAGTGAAAATCCTGGGTCCTTCATGTCAACAGGCATTTACTGTGCAACCATGCTGGCCAAGAGGACAGAGTCGAAGTCGGATTCCTGTCCTCAAGGGAGCTCAGTCTAGCAGAGGTGTCAGTCATGTAAGGGATTGCAGTACACATGACCAGAACTAAAACAGACAAATACCTGGCATACTGGGGCACAAAGGATCAATCATTTTCTTTGCTTGGAAGAGTCAATCAAGCTTCACAGAGGAGAAGCCCTACCCTGTGGGAACTTGAAGAATGATGCTTCTGTAAAGTGCATGATAAGAGAGACGACCAATGGCTACTCAATAAATGTGTGTATAACAAAGGAATGAATGGTTGTTTCAGGCAGGAGGACCAGCATTTACGAGGAGGCTTGAAATTAACAACCAAACTAATAAGAGGAAGCCTAAGTCTAGCAGGGAGGTGATATACAAGTACGTCCCCATCTTCTTAATTTTCCCTTGTGTGATACCTTTCTATAGAATCTTCTTTTCAAGTCTGCCTTGACATTCTATCAACCCCCTTAAGCTTCAGTTCAAAGAGGTATCTCATGCAGAAAGGTTTTCTGATCTCTCTGTTAAATGGAATCTCTCCCTACTTATATTATGATCTGATGTTTGGCCAGTTGCATATAGTTTGATCCACCTACAAGCAATGTGATATGCAGGAAGTCACTCAACCCTTTGCCTCAGTTTCTCTATCTGTATAATGGGGATAACAATATCAACTTCATAAAGCTGCTGGTGAAATTGTCATCACATGTGTAACATGCTTGGAACAGTGCCTTGCACATTTTCTGGCAAGCACTTGGTGAATATTAGGCACTGATAGTTTCCTATGTTAATTGCTCAAGGTCACATGGCTGGTATGTGACTACCAGTCCATATTATTATCCTCCTTCCACAGAGGAGGAAACCAAGGTAGGTTAAATCTGTTTTTTAAGGACAAATGGCAGGAAATGATAGAATCTAAGATATTTCTATCACTCTGGTCTTGCACGCAGTAGGTACCAGATCCAAAAATATGGAAATGAGCTGCAAGATATGGATTTTACACAATTTCAAGCACTCTTAAAAGTCAATGTATAAAACTGGATTGGATTTGGGCCACTTTCCCCACTTCAGCTTTATAAGCGACAATACAGCACCTCTCCCTATTCTGTATCTACAGTGTCACCTGTTCAGCAAAATGTGACTGTGTCCAAGCATCATAAGCATTACTTGTGAATTTCTGAAGTACATCCGTATATCAATAATGAAAGGAAACTGGCATCGTTTTGAATGAAAACTTAAATAAGGAAGCTGTACTACAGAGAGAATGTACCACGGCCGGGACCCTACTCCCCTTTTAATTTTCCAAAAGCCAGGGGTTGAGCAAATGCTGTGAAGTAACTCCAAATTATTTAGGAAATTCGTTTCTTTGTAATTAAGGAGATTAAAGTCCTCTAGAGCCAGAAACCATGTGACAACTCAAATCATTTTTCCCCAGCAAAAGCCGTGAAACCCTATCAGTTAAATTCAGGCTCGCCTAGAATTTTGAAATGCTTCAATAATGTTTCTTTGCTCCACACAATCTGCAGTAATTTAATATTCCTGAAGTGTGTCAGGTTTTTTATAATGAGCTCTTCAAATCTAAATGTGAATTATGTAACATTCCACTACAGACGTTTTGTCTAGTGAACTGCTTCTAAATGTAAAACCCCGTGTTCAGTGACTGGGTGCGGGGGGACACCAGACCACAAAGCAGAGCAAATAGATAGAACTTAAAAATAATAATAACAACAACAACAAAGCACAAAGGTTTGAGCAGCTGCAAGAGAATGGACACGTACTAAAACACCTACCGTAACACACATACGTGTGCTTTCCTGCCCAACCCCCCTCTCCTCTCTCGATCCTATCATAAAATAAGCTAATATTTATGAAGCCCCCCCCCCAGGTACAATGCTATCAACTTCTCATGTATTATCTTATTCAAGCCTTCAACCACCTGAAGGTATTACTATTATCTTCATTTGACAAATGAAGAAAGTGAGGCCCAAGCCAGTTTAGTGGCTTATCCACAGTCACATGACTAATAAGTAGCACAGCACAGGGCAGGGTACAAGTCTCTCTTCTCCCCAACTTCACTCAAAACCCTCCCAGGTGTCCATCAGCTAGTGAATGAATAAACAAAATGTGGTGTACCCACACAACAGAATGTTATTCAGCCATATAAAGGAATGAAGTCCTGAACCTTGAAAATACCATGCCAAGTGAAATAGTTAGACCACATGTTGTATGATTGCATTTATATGAACTACCCAACATGGATAAATCCACAGTGACAGAAAACAGATCAGTGGTGGCCAGGCACTGGGGAAGTGGGTAAAGGCGAGTCACTGCTTATTGGTTACATGGTCTCCTTGGGGGGTGATGAAAATTTTTGGAACTAGATAGAGGTGATGGTTGCACATCATGAATGTAATAAATACCACTGGATGTACGCATTAAAATGGTTAATTCTGCTATATGAATTTCACCTGAATTTAAAAAAATAATAAAACCTTCCCAGTCACGTCTCATACCCTGATTTAAGTCTTGTGTGATAGGGCAAAGAATACTACGAATTCCAGTCTAGAAGGACAACGCAGCCTTAAAAACCAGATGAAGAGTAGGTAGTATTCCCAGATCCAAGACTTTGGGTTTGAGTGGCAGCAACTCCATAGATTATAAGCTACATGCCACTACCTGCATGTTTTGTGATTGGGGGCATCTTCACCAGCTTCATCCAAACTGTAAAGCACTGGAAACAGACCATTTATCAACACGGAGCAAAGATTTGCAACAGTAGGGAGGAGGAGCCTCAGCTTCATCAGTAAAATGGAAAGATAACAACCAAGTACGTACAATTTGGAAGATGGATGAGATGGGGACTTTGGACACCTGGCTCAACCTACAGCGTGCTACCTTTTGTGTAAGAAAGGAGGAGATCTAAATCTGCTTATCTTTACAAACAGAAACACAGGACAAACAAATCAGGAAACAGGGGGGCTGTTTTTCTACATGGGAGATCCGGGGTGGCGGAGCAACTGGGTGACCCGGTAGAAAGATATGGCAAAGGGTGATACTTCTCACACTTTTTTTTAATGTATAACTTTTTTTTTAATGTATAACATTTTACATAATTTCCATTTGGAAGCATATTAATAGTCTACATTTTTGAAAAAATTAAATTAACAGGGATGGGTAATGGGGAGAAGGCTAAAACTGAGAGTGGACTGAAACAAATTAATCCACTTGTATTTCAAATGAACCTCATAAACACAATTGCTGAAGGGGTGGGAGAGGAAGAACAATAATCCAAATAAGTTATGACCACAGAATTTGACAGTTTACACTCAGCCTTGGGCAGGGTTGGGTAAGGGGGAGCTACACACAAACCTCACACTCTTTTTAGTAGGCTTTCTGGTAGTGTTATGAGCAAAGCAATTATGAAAATATTTTAGA